ATATAAGTGGAGACAGCTTAAACCGGAGAGATGATCGTTGAGCCAGATCCTCTGGCACCAAAACAGGCATTTGCACTGATTTTAGTGTGAATTAGAGGCTCCAGCAGCCTCAGACTTAAACCACAGGCCTTTTCACAAAAGCAGTCAATTCTTCTGATTTGTAACAAAGCAGGAGAATTATGGCCAGTGCAAGGAGAGGAGTCCAGGCAGGACTGAAGTGGTTTCCTGTGGAGTATCTCCAGGAACATCGTTAAAAATCAAATTCCTTGTGGATGAATGAGGAAACGACATCAACCTCAAATTCGAGGAAAAGACACCAACCTCAACTTCTACCTCCATGAACTGAAATGTGAGAGGATCAGTGATATGAATGGAGATTAACTGCTAGAGACACTGTAAGGGAGGACTGGAGGGGTTGTTTTTGCTTGACCTCAGTTGCCTACTCAGGGTAATTGAATGATCTTTGGGGCGCATCTGAATGCATTTTTCAGCAACTGTGCCTGACCAGCATGGGTTGAGAAACTCAGTGTGTGTCTTCTTTGTGCTTTGTGCTCTCTGAGCCCATGTGCTTGTTTCTTTGTCTGGGTCCTTAGAGTAAAAATAAAAAGTAGGCCCAGCTGTTCCTTATAATTAAATTTCAGTAACTCAAGCTGGGTGATTTTATTTTGACTAGTGACTTAAAAGTGATGGCATTTAAATGGCCTTAACTGTATTTCAGAGTTAGCATTGAGAAACTTCACACAGACATTAGTGTTATTTGCCTGTTAGCACACTCAACAAAATACCACTGTGTTGATTTACATAGCGAAGGTTATCTTTGCTAACAGAAGGACTCAGAATTTCATTATTTAAAATATGAGTATGAATCTCATCACAGTGCAGGAGGCTACAAATGCCATTACATACAACTTACCAGCTGAGTCAAGAGCAGAGGTGAAGTTTATATTGTGCACTGAGCCCCGTGTTCAAATATACCTAAAAGATGCAAAAGCCAAAACCCACACAACATTATCTGTGCCCAGAACAGATCTGTCTGTACAATGAGGACTTTTCCTTTCTTTGGTTTGTTTCTATGTGTCTGTCTTCTCTCTCTAATTTATTTATAAGATATTTACGCCATACATGGGCAGTCTGTGAAGCAATAAACCAATAATAGGCTCAGTTTTCATTGCAGTTTCTATATTTGGGTATTTTAGTACATCAAAATCTGGATATAAGAAGTATTAACAGTCTTATGCCAGCAGAAAGAAATTAATTTTATGCCTGCCTCTGTACAGAAGCCAAAAGCTTCAGGAAATAAGATCTCTTCTCATAAGCATCTTTTCAGATCCAGTTAGGAGAGGAGAAAATAAACAATGAAATGCAAGCTTCCAGGCGACAGCACACCAGTGAGATATGATCGTTCATGTGATAATACATATAATTCACAATATGTGTCTGACTGGCACTCCAAGACTCCAGTACTTATTGATGACCAAGGTAGAATCTGGTGCTTTCATCAAGGCCTTGGCCCTTGGGAGTCCAGTTGTGACAGGGGGCTATGTGTAGCCTGGTAGAGCAGAAAGGAAGAGCAGTCTTTTAAAACCTGAGCACCCCTTGTTGTGACACAAACCCTTGGAACCAGCATGCACAGCCTAAAGAAAGCAGCAATTCCAGTGCCTGGGTAGGGACATGTCTTCTGCGTGGCCCTCCAGCAGTGATGTGCAGCATCATGATATGGACCACTGTTAGGAAGCTGGCTTTACATTCTTCCAGCAGCTGCTCATAACCCAAGTCTAAAGCCTCAGAGAGAAGCATGGGGAATCCTTACCGAGCCTGCCCAGGAAGACCAGGTGGTCCTGACCTGTCACACTCTGGGTGAACATTTTGCTGACCTCTCACAGCAGTGCTACAGAAGTGAGTGAGAAAACAGCAAGCAAAATGGAAAAAAACAAACGAGAGAGGAAAAAATCATCTTCTTGGCAAGACAAAGTGGGAAGCAATGAACAATGATTACTGATGAATAATGACCCAGAATTAATGGAGAAGGGCAACAGCAAAATCTGTGCACAGAACACAAATATTTTAGAATGAGGATAAACAGTGACATTAGTAGGGTGGCCAGAACTCATTACCCATTCACCATAATACTTGTCTACATTACACACCATGGCTGATGGCAGTGGCTAGGGCTAGAACATTGCCCTTGGCGGCTCCATAATTTTATCAGAAGAGCGTTTGCACAAGAAGCAAGCTGTTCCAAAACTGAATGAAAGGCTAGGTTTTCCTCTTGTTATTACTGGTGTTTTAAATTTAAATTCCTCTCAGATATGTAGCCCTATTTGGAAGGAATGTTGAGTTACAGAGGCTTGAGGGCAGTTGCCAACTTAAGCACAACTAAATTAAGCCAGAAATGCTGAGCAGAAGTGGAAGCAGTATCACACTGTATTAGAAGCCAGGATTATAAAATCTCTGCCTATCAAAGAAATCAGAAGAAAGCAGACAGCTCTGTATTATTATTTTTAATGCAGTAATGTCTAGAGGATCCAACCAGTTACTGGGCACCAAAAGGAGGTGGTGCCTGCTTGAACACAAGGAGGCACCACAAAATAAAAACATGGAAACAGACCAAACTTTATCCCCATGCCCTTTTTGGGAAAACAGGCTCACTGTCATTTTATCTTCTGGTCCAGTGAATGTAGGCAAACCTGGACTGCTACACTTTCTTTAATCCAAGGCAATCTTTCCCCACTTCATTTCTTGAGAGTCTAACTAAAGATCTGGGACAGATTTTACAAAATTTCAAGCACCACCACTGTCTTTTTTGATCTCAGAAGACCTGTGGGTCTTAGCACATCTCCAGATCAGGATACCTTGCTCGGGGCCGAAGCAGGGAGGAAGGGGCTGTCCCTGCAGGGCTCTGACCTGCCCACACTGCTGTGCAGCCCTGGCTCTTCTTCAGTTCAATGCTTCTCTTCCTAGAGTTTCCTAGACCCTCTGGGCCATAATGGATCCTCTCCAGCCTCCTCTTGTGGTACTTACTTTATCTGCATCCTCTCAGGTGAGCCAGTCTCTCTTGCTCAAGGGTGACCAACAGGGCGCAGTTGTTTCTCACCCTGTCAATGAGCTCGATGTCCCAGGCAGAACACTGCAGTGCCTCTCTGTGGTGCTGAGCATAGCCTAGAAAGGGGCTACAGGGCATCTGTGTGCTTTTCCATCACAGAGGAAAACAGCCAAGAGGAGATATCAAGAGGGAAGTGCTGAGAGTTTACAGGGAATTTATGCAGCACATGTGGAGATGTGCATAAACATGCATGCAGACTGAAAGCGCTTGTCTCCTCTTAACTGAATTTGTCATGGTGCCTTCGGGAGATTTAATCGGGCTGGAGCATAGACATTTCACCGAGCTTGGAACCCAGCAAAAAGCAAACTCACACTCCCTTTATGTGCAAAACTTTCCTGCGGCTGCTAAGAACAAGCGCTGGCAGGAGCTGCGGGACCTGGACAAACCCGTGCTCCCGCTGCTCCTGTCCCCGCCTGCCGAGCGCTGGAGTAGCATGTGGGGCACATCAAGGCTGCTCAACCGCGGGCGTGCCCCTCCAAGCACACCAGAAAAATAAAGGAAAAAATATAAAAGGAAGGAAAAAAAAAAAAAAAAAAAAAAAAAAAAAAAAAAAGGTAAGAAAGCCTAAGCCCAGAAGACACGGGATTACGAGAAGTGTAAAGCACGCGGTGTGATCCGGTGGGCCGTGCACCTCTACTGCAGCGGGGCTCACCGCGCAGCGCAGCCCCTCGCCCGGCGCTCAGGGCGGGCGGTGCCGAGGTGTCTGCCCGCTCCGGCTGCGCCCCCGTCCCGCACCGACTTGATCGTCCCGGCCCATCCCGCACGCCCAGCTCCGGCACCGAGCGGCACCTGTAACGCCGGGCAGCACACCCCGGCCCTGCCGCGCTCCCTGGGGAGCCGGGCATCGCCCCACGGCGTAGGGACAGGGTGCAACATAGGCCGGGAACAACGGCACGACCACAGAGCACCTGCATCCGTCCGTGCCGTGGCATCCCTGCTCGGGCTGGAAGGGGAGGGGCTGTTCCCCGCCTAGGCGGGGGACGAGCTCGGGCTCCTCCCGACGCCTGCAGGGGAAGGGGAAGGGGAAGGGGCAGGGGCAGGGGCGGGGGGCCGGCAGTGGGGCGGTGCGCGGGGCCGGAGCGAGCCGAACCCCCCCCGTCGGGCGGCTCATGGGTGCGGGAGGGAGGGAGGGACAAGGGAGGCGGCGGCGGCTCCTCCTCCGCTGGCAGGCGGGCGGGCAGCCCGCCCGAGAGCGGCACCGGTTGCTCGGTGCCGGCGGAGCCGCGCCGCCCGCTATATAAGGGGCGGCGGCTGCTCGCAGCTCACTCGCACCGGCCCCTGCCCGCGGCTGCCGGTGCTGGGCGGAGGCCGGGCCTCGACAGCATGGCCCGCGGCGGGGCGCAATGGGAGGTGGTCTCCCCCCCTGCCTCCCGCGGACCCTCCTCTTCCTCCTCCTGCTGCTCCTCCCGCACCCGCGGCGGCGGCTGCAAACTTGCTGCGGCGGGCTGCGTGTGAAGGCACGGCCCGGCGGGGCGGCTCCGCTGCCCCCGCAGCCCCCGCCGTCGCGCCCGCAGCCCGGGGGGCGAGGCCGCCGCCCGCGGGCATGCGGCGCTGCCACCGCGCCCGTCGAGACACGCTGTGGAGCCGCGGGCGGCGGGGCTGCGCTTAGGGGCGGCCGGGGCGGGAGCCCCATGTCCGGGGCTCGCCGGGCTCCGCGGGCAGGCGGCGGGGCGATGAGCTGCCGGGGCGAGCGGGCGCGCCTAGCCCCCGGTTTGCCCTGCTCCCTCGCCCGTGGGGAGTGAGGCTCCGCGGAGCCCGCTCGGAGCTCCCGGAAGGGCGGGCAGGCGGGCGGGAGGTGGTGCCGGCGCGGCGATGCTGCAGCCCTCCCCCGGCGCCGACGGGGTCCTGCCGGGGTAGCGGCCCCGCCGTGCCGCGCCGAGCCCCGCCGTCTGCGGGGGCGGCGGCCGCGGAGGGATGGAGCCGGCCGGCCCCTGCCGGGCGCAGTTGGGCTCCGCCAACGACTCTTACCGAAACTGTAGCGCCGAGGAAGTGATTTACCAAGATGCCACCCCCCTCTCCGGGAAGATCGTGCTCGCCGTCGTCCTGGCGCTGGTCACCCTGGCCACGGTGCTTTCCAACGCCTTTGTCATCGCCACGGTCTACCAGACGAGGAAACTCCACACTCCGGCCAACTATCTGATCGCCTCTTTGGCCGTCACCGACCTCCTCGTCTCCATCCTTGTCATGCCCATCAGCACCATGTACACTGTGACCGGCAAGTGGACGCTGGGTCAGATCGTCTGCGATATCTGGCTGTCCTCGGACATCACCTGTTGCACGGCGTCCATCCTGCACCTCTGTGTCATCGCCCTGGACCGCTACTGGGCGATCACCGACGCCGTCGAGTACTCCACGAAACGGACTCCCAAGCGGGCAGCGGGCATGATCGCACTGGTATGGATCTTCTCCATCTGCATCTCCATGCCCCCTTTGTTTTGGCGGCAGGCGAAGGCCGAGGAAGTATCTAACTGTGTGGTGAACACGGACCACGTCCTGTACACCGTGTACTCCACAGTAGGAGCCTTCTACTTCCCCACTCTGCTGCTGATAGCCCTCTACGGGAGGATCTACGTGGAAGCCAGGTCGCGGATTTTGAAGCAGACGCCAAAGAAAGCAGGTAAAAGACTAACGCGGGCACAGTTAATTACAGATTCCCCGGGGTCGACCTCTTCCGTCACGTCCATAAACTCCAAGGCTCCCGAGGGATCCAGCGAAACGGGCTCCCCCGTGTACATGAACCAGGTGAAGGTGAAGGTCTCGGACGCCCTGCTGGAGAAAAAGAAGCTGACGGCCGCTAGAGAGCGGAAAGCTACAAAGACTTTAGGAATTATTTTAGGAGCCTTCATCGTGTGTTGGCTGCCCTTTTTCATCATCAGCTTGGTGATGCCTATTTGCAAGGACGCTTGCTGGTTCCACATGGCCATCTTTGACTTTTTCACGTGGCTTGGATATCTCAACTCCCTCATCAACCCCGTCATCTATACTATGTCTAACGAAGACTTCAAGCAAGCTTTCCACAAACTCATACGTTTCCGATGCACAGGCTGAAATGTTGAATGCGATGTGTTCCCCGGGGCAGCCCCCATTGCACGCCCGCGCCCGGCGCCACAGGTAGGTCCGCGCACCCCGCCCTGCCCGAGAGCCGCGGTGCGACGGGCAGGGGGCAGCCGGGGGGTTGGAAATGGGGCGGGGGGCTGTGACCCCACTAAGAGCTGGTGTTCAGACCCTCCGCAAGCGGCGGCGAGCGCTGGGGATGCTGCGCGTTCCTGACATTTCACAATCTGTGTGTGCGCGCGTCGTGTGTACCCCCCCCCCCCCCCCCCCCCCCCGGGGGGGGGGCCGCCGGGCCGCCAATCCGCGACCGGC